TCAAATGACTTCCACACCTGGTATCACTGCATCAGACCACCCTAAACCAGTGCTTTTCATCAGCAAAGCCAATAACAAATCTACTGCTGCCAGGATCACCCAACTCACCTCAAACCTCCACCATGCAGCTGTTCAGACTCCTGCATCCCCACAAGTCGCCTTAGCTCCCTGTACTTGTATGGCAAGAACTTCATTTGGCCATTTCCATGTCAGGAGCCTTTGCTTTGCCACATAAATATAACAGCGGTAAACCTCGGGCAAACACCAGAAAGAAGGGAAGATGAAGGTCTTGCTCATAGACAGTGCTCTCACACGTACCTCAGAGCATACTGAAGCTACACCATTTCTTACGCTGTAACCCAAAGCTATGACGATACTTCATGTTTTTCCTCTTTAGGAGCTTTGTCACAGCCATAAACAGAAGAGGACCCGAGAGCTGTTTCCCATCAGTGGAACATCCCAAAGTAGGGAAAAAGAGATCCTGGGATTTGGGAGAAGAGGAAGGAGCACAAGTTCCTACAGTTACTACATCCACATTCAGCCCAAACACATGATAATAAACCAGTGAAGCTGAAAGCACTTCTATAGCCAGCCATATAGCCATACATTGCTGGAAGATGTAAAGCAACAACTACTCTTTAACAGACATGCATTCACAGCAAACAGCACTTCACACTATTTTCCTTATACGTGCTAAGAATTCATGTCACTAGCGACGAGGCTGGGGGAGAGTTCACTCCCCTTGGGAAGTCAGGAGCACCTACACCCCTTCAAGCAGGGCTGGTGACAGCTCCAGTCCCCTAACCCTTCAAGCACTGTGCCACCTCTCACTCAGCGTTTCTCAACACACCTCAGTTCTGAGCAGTAACAGTTTTTATTCCAGTGCTACAGCTTTTCCCGGAGGGAATGAGTCCCAGGCAATACAATCCCACTCAGTGGATTTACGTATGGTGGAGACCAACACCAAATCTAAGCTCCTCTGCAACTTAAGGCAACTTCCATGCATTCCGAGGAGAGGGACGAACAAGAAGCACCCAGGTAACTGTTCTACAATCTTTTCAAGTGTATTTTTCTAAGCTCCCTTGCAAGAGTGAGGGAGGAAATTGGTGCATGACCCCTCTTCCTCCCAGAAGAAAAAAAGGCGTTCACGCCAAAAATCTCCACAGCAGCATGGCCAGCTCTACAGAGCTGTAAAAAACCCAAGCCAAAACAGAGCAAACAAAAACACAAAGCCAAAAAACCAAAACCACCACCACCAAAAAACACAAATCAAACCAAAACCAAACCACCACCCCCCCCACCCCCGCAAGAAAACCCAAACACACTGCATTTTCCCTAAAATCCAACATCTTGAATGCCTATGATTAAACAAGCATCTCTGAAAAATACTTTTTAGACAGTCTATGATGGAGGGGAAGGAAAACAAAAGTTTGGAGTTCAGGAACTAGAATACAAACTCAATTTCAGGATTAAAAACTGTCATGGAAATTGGCAATGGTGTTTTAAGTATGATTAGAGCAGCCCTGTCTAGACACCGCACTTAGAAGAGCACGTACCTGCTCACGCTTGACTTGCAAGTAGGAAATGGAAGTTATAAAAGGAAGGAAAAGGAATGTATGCAATGGCTCTTCACCTTACCTAGAAGGTGACATTATACTCTTTGCTGTACTCCAAAGAAACATCATTCCCCTATTAGATATTAAAAGGAAAAGAAAAAAAAAAAACCAGCCATGAACTCTTAGTATCACTCCAGCACTGCTGACCCCCAAATTACTACGCTTGAATTGAAAATTCATTGAAAATGCAACGCAATTTCTTGTACCAACATGTTCATGGCTAGTAACTCCCTTCCCTCAACACACATTCACGTCTGCTTTGGAGGAGGAGTCTGGTCCATCCTTTTTCTCTAATTTCATCTCCATCAGACACCATCTACTAAATGTGTTGCTAGTCCTGGTCGCCAGCCTTTTAGTCAAGCACTGTTCTTGGCTTAATACAAGAAAGAGCTGCAAGTGTCCATACAATACATAAAAACCACAGAAGACCGTGCACTGAGATGATCACATAAGCAGACACATGCTCTCCTTTCCATGAAGGCTCCTGTCCAGAATTTCCTGTCGCAGGAAGAGTCTGCCACCAACAAAAACATTAGGAGAAACTAATTGGGCTCCACACAGTTGAACAGAGTGAAATGCCAGGCTGCTTCCAGACCACGGGGGACGCAGGAATCTGCATCAGGCAGTAGATAAAGCTAGGCTAAAAGAGGCAGAAGCTGCCCCCCACCCCAATCAACCTGAACACCGATATATTTTAATGTTATAACACCACCGTTACCCAACAAGAAGTCTTTTGGGGCTGGGGAGGGGGACCATAAAGAGAAAAAAAAAATCATGCCAGTTGCAAACCTTTTCCGTAAGGCTAAATTTAGTCAGCAGGACAACCACACAAGCTCTCGTATGGCAGCAGGGAGTAAGCGCTCTCCTGAGCGGCCGAAGTGCATCCTAAACTGTGGCAAAGAGACAAATCAAGAACCGAAGAAGGCGGCAGCTTCAGGAATTGCAGTGGTACATAGGAAGCAATAACAGCTGCTTTGGGAGGCTTGCTTATTTTCAGGGTCAGGAAAGGCACCCTTCTAGCAGTGAAATGTTAAAGGTTGAAAAAATGTCTGTCTCCAGCAACTGGAGAAGAAAGAAAAAAAAAAAAGAAACAAAATGCACATTGCATCTTCACCAGCACCTGCAGCAGACTGTTCCCACTGGGCTGCTTCCCAGCACCAGGGGCAGGCACTGCCACAGGAGAGGACACTCTCTGCCTGCAGTCCCAGCAGGCAGCGCTTCTCCTTCCACCACCAGCAGGTACAGCGGGGGATCATGCAGGGGCTGACGGGGTGACAAAAAACATTGTTTGCGTCGCAGGGGAGTGTTGGCATCAAAGGGTGTGCACGTTCTCCCAAGTGACCAGGGCACACAACTGATCTGCAGCAATGATGCCTGTCCAGAAACAGTACATGCAGTTCCTTAATGCAGACAGTAAATACAGCACTAAACAGCCACACAGGTAAGAAAAGAGCAAAAGCGGGCAATCGCCAACAAGTGACGTTTTACAAAGCAGGATATTTAGAGTCACTTTATGCAGATTCAATGCCTGGTTCCCCTGTCCAGTGATCAATTCAGGACTTGCTCCCACTCCCTGGACGACGAAAGGCCAGCCCCTCCCGCACCCATTAGGTGCCGGCAGTTCAGCAGTGTGAATTCCCTTCCTTGCCCCTGCCAGCAGCAAACATTTCAGGAGGGCAGCCAGCCTGAACTATACAGCTCACACCAGGTGAGAAACCCTTCTGCACAGGCAGCTCTAGGATTTCAGAGTGCCATCCTCACGAGCTACGTCAATCCAGCACCCCAATCACAAGATCGCCAGTTTTAAATATCTCCGGCTGGAAGTATAAGAGCTTGTTGGAGGCCTTCTGTATGTTAAGAGCTCTTCATCCCCTGTTGTGCAGTGACAATATTTTACACCTTTAAGCGATGGTGCCGATGGAAACACGGAGTTGTAACTAGAATTCTCTGCCACACCTTCAGACACATTATTGCATGCTATCTGTCCCAAGTGCCATGGCATTTAAGTCAGAAAGTATAAACAAGTTTTACATGCTTCATATTTAAAAGGATATCGCCAATAAAAGGTTAGAGACAGACAGCCTCTAGCTATTGCCATGAGTAAAGACAACAGAATCCCTTTAAAAATTTAAAGTGTGTATGCTTTTTCTACCCTTCAATACAGAAATCACCATGCAAAGCAATATGTCCATGAAAAAGTAACTCCGGTTTAGATGAACTGGAAAAAAACCCAAACATGCAATGACATATGGTTTTACCAGATGCAGTAATTAAAAATCCAAGCTTAAAAAAAACAGAAAGCAAATTCATCATCAAGTTTTCCGTTTTATTTAAGATTTTAGTTTTAATTCTGAAGAAAGAGGTACATTTCCTTGGTTTTAGTTTTAGCGTCAGGTTATAACCATGTTTATTTATCTGTTTCTTTTTTCCTGTCTTTTCAATACTGCACAAACGTCCAGAAACTACAGGGTTAAGTAAAAGCTGCAGGCAGAGGAGGTCAGAGGTTGCTCCTGATGGTGATCATGTGGCCCCAATGCAGTGCTATCCCAGAGTGCCCTAATCAGGTGAATTTTGTTTTTTTAAAAAAAAGAAAGAGAGACTGACAGAGGAGACAGAAAGACTGAAGTAAATATCACTCGTGTTTCAGCTGCTTATATTATGTATACGCTAGGTATTAAATCTGTGAATATTTTTAAAACATTAAAGTTTACTTTAAATCTAAAGCCAAAATTAAAGAAAAATCTTATTCTCCCCTCTTTAAACCACTCTTTAGCAACATGCCAGTTACTCATAGCTCTAAGTGTTCTGTCTTTCAACACACTTCATGTCAAACTCTGACTGACACAAAATCCCCTTCTCAAAAAAAAAAACCAACATAGCAATTTCCCTGTGTAGTGCCACACTGAATGCAAAATAAATGCTAGGCTGCTGCTTGCCCCACATGTTCAGTAACTTCATTTAAATTAAATACCTTTTTCATGTTTCTGCATTTGATTCTGCATTGCATTTTTTCCCCTACTGCAGACTGACATTTTTCCACTAGGCAGAAATACTCATGTGCAAAAGACATAAGACAGTAATATTCTCCTTAAGCATTGAGACTGCATTTTGATTTCTCTCTCTCTTTTTTTTTTTTCCTTAGAATGGTTAGAAAATATTTCAAACAGTGTATTTCAAACACTGGCTCAGCAGAAACTTAACGAAAAGACACGGTCATGACCCTGTGATGGCATTGCATTTGGGGGGGGAGGTTTGATCAGGAACTGGATTCTTCAGAAAGAAAGATATGACAGGGAACAGTAGGTGGGCATGGGGAGGAGTCAGGGTGGGACACTTCCTGCATTTCTAACGTTTTGGGTTTTATTTTTCTTTTTTTTCTTTTTCCTCCTTTCCTAATGACGATCCAGCGCTGAGCTCTGTAGTAGATCTGTGGGGGTTTTACTGGGGGGTCTGAAGGCTGTCTGAAAGCCTGGGGGTGGGGAATGGAAGCTGGTGGGGTTTGAAGGAGGAGAGTAGGGATTCCAACTGGCTCTGTGCAGAGGGATCTGTGTGCCGAAGGGGTTACTGTGGTGCGTCTGTGATGGCGCTGCACTGGGGCCGTCCACCTCTGTGAGGGCCTGAAGAGATTTTAGCCAATGTGGAGGATTGTCATCTTGAAGGGTGTCTAAACTGTTTCCTGTGGAGGCTGGGATACCTATGAAGAGAAGAAAAAAAAACAGGGATACAAGCAAGTCAGAGCAGAAGCAATAAGCTGAGCACGAAGGAGGTCAATTTAACCTAACAAAAAGCAACAATGAGAAAACATGATTAGTTTGTACAGAGAATGCATTTCACATTATTATATATAATTATCCTGCCCGCAAAACATTTAACATTAAATCCAGATAGGAGAAAGTTCCTCCTCAGAGCACTTCTTCGTAAAATACACATTTTTCTATCGAACATCCTGTGCAAGGACTGCATCCCTGTTGACGTGACTTTACCACACCACCAGTACACTGCATGCTTCACCTCCTACTCTGCCTACTTGAATCATGCTTCAGCCTCTCTAACAGGGAAACACAACCAGACAGCCTTATAAAAGAGAGCTTTATAAACAAGTGGAGTATGTCCCTTTTTAAATAACAAAGTCCAGTGAATGCCTTCAGTGCCTCAGGACCAGCGGCGCACATACCGGACATGCCATCCAGCAGAAGGGACACCTACGTTGACCCTATAGATAAGCACTGATCCACCTGACTGCCTGCAGAGGTCCCGGGCATGCATTGCAAAGGCCTAAGTGACACTTCGTTATACCTAGCGGTTCCACAAAAATTCCTGGACCCTTGAGGTTTTGTGGATGGAAGCTGGAAGAGACCACCGCATACTGACTTTTATTTTTTCCAGATGCAAATCAGTTTGTGCCAAATACCCATTTGATGGTTTGCCAGCAGAGCTGAAGGAGTGAGAAATGGTTACCTGTGATGATTGCGGGGTCCATCCAGCTGCCAGGGCTGTCCCAATTCAGGCTGTCGGTGGTGGCAGTGTTGGACGTTGGTACACTGTGGTTGGCGTTGGAGGGGGAAGAAGCATTGGGCAGTCCACCAAAGTTGATGTTAATGTTCGGTAGAAGTGCCCTTAGCCCGTCCTGCCATTCCTTCATATTTAAACTCTCTACAGAACTGCTGTTGTCTGGGAGATTTACCAACAAAAAAAAAATGAAAGATAAAAAAAATAAAAAGCTGAAGTTAGAAACAGATGTCCTTCTTTGGTGGGGTATGGGATTTCGTTTTTACTTTTTAAGCTAAGCATTTAATACTTTCCCTGTCCAAAAACTAGGGTCAATGTTTATATGATTGATGAATTACTCAGAGGGGCTGGCAGGTTTTAAACCAAGTGTAAGGAAGTGGGAGAAAGATTTAACTCCTCCCCCAATTCATATGTCCCCATTTTTTTCAGTTCAGAGACTTGAATAATCAAGGGCACAGTGGCTCTCCCTCTGTTACTAATAGGGGAAAACCTACCAGATCCTTTATAAGAATACCTCTGTTGCAAGCTAGATAACCCAATTCAGCTGCTTTATTACTGGACAGCAGGCTCGAAAGGGTTGTTTTCTTTGAAGTATATTAAAATGAAGAAAGGCTAGGTAGGGCTTTGCAATAGAAACCGAACATGAGGAACCAGGGAGGTGGAGGAATATCACAAGAGTTTTTTGTTTTGTTATAACTCGCTCATTCACAGCCCTACAGATGCTCTACCGAAGGAAATGGTAATTAGGTTTCATGAAGTTGGAGGGAGTGCACTTTCCTCTTGCAGTTGAAGAACAGTAGTGAAAATTCCTTAGAGACCTTTCAGAATAATCCCCGACACAGCAACATCCTCAAAACTTTGGTTAGAAGCAAACATGCTGGACACCAAAACAATCAAGTCTCAACCGCTTGCTTAAATGTTTCAGGGCATGTATTGAAAAAGGACAAGAGGATAACGTGGCTATTAACACTACTGCAAATGATCCCTGAACACAAACGTTAAACCACGCTATCTAGAACAGACTATCAGGTTCTACGATCCATCTCCTGCTTTAGGTACCTCAAAGCAAAACAAGCCAGACACGAGCATCCTACTATTTATCAACCAATACAGAAAGACATACTTAAATTAACTTGTGGTCAAATATATTTGAAAAGAAAGTGTTGGGTAGTACATTGGCAGTATGCTCTTTGACAAAAATCTAGAATACAACTTTTTTTTTTTTTTTTAAAACCATCTCTGCCTATCCTGAAGAAAGGACCTTGATGTCAATCAGAAGTGTTACAGTGAGATACTTACATAATACTGCTACTTCATCAACAGAAGAGATTTAAGTCTTCATGGAAAATTAGAGGCTATCACTAACTTGCAACTCTGTACATTGCAGGGTGAAGAAAGCAGTCTCACTTGCTATCAAAACCTGCCTTGGCAATTTTCGTAAAGCTGAATGCTCAGAAAGAGCTGATGTCTCAAGCAATTACCTTTTTCTAACTAGGGGGGGGGGGAAGGCGAGTTCTTGAAATCCTGTACTTTCATCCAGAACTTTCCTTCCCCAGGCCAGAATTTTTTTAGAATAAACTTTATAAAAGATTCTGCTTCTATACAGAATTACAGCAAGCAACTTTAATCACAAATCACAGCAAGTCACACCTCAGTCCATGTCACCAACTGTACTTCAAAACAAATTACTATGCAAATCTGCTATATCCACTTTGCCCATGACAACTGTTGGAGCAATGCATTCATTTCTAACCCCATGCATGCCTAACGCAGCCTTTCTAGCACAAGCATCCATCTGCATACATAAATGTCCCCACATAGCAGGACATCAGCTGACACCTAGAACATCTGTAGCCAGACAGACTGATGCTGTGCATGGAGCCTGGACAGGGATAACAGCACAGATGCAAAGAGTGTACTATGAAAATCATCTTCTGTGCCTGGGCAACTTTGCAGAACACATTTGACCATAGACTCCGGAAGGTTTACAGTTGACTGCTGTTATCCCCACTTGCTGGTTGAGGCTGGGGAATCACACTTCCTCGGAGGTTACAGTGTGAGATACCTCCATGGGGAAGACAGACAACTCCTAAGCATTCCCATAAACAAAGAAAAGACAGGTCAAAAATCAGGTACTGGAAGTAAACCCAAAAGCCTACCCATTACCACATGCATCATGTTACATCTAGATTAAAATTTTAAGTGCTACAGGAGAAGAAAATAGCAGTACAGAACTGCAGCTCTGCCTCAAGCAAGTAACCCAAGATCAGCTTTTTACTAACACCTTAGCACACAGATGCAATCAAGCCTCCAGACATACGTGTGACTGTATCTACACACTGTGTGCAGCAATGTATTCTGTGGGGCCTGCTGTACAAGTCATTTTGGGTGAAAAAAAGCAGGCTTATCAGCGATTTGTTCTGTGCTCATTTAGCATTGAGCCATAGCGCATACAGCTAGCTTTCACTTCTACTTTCATTTATCCTACTGTAAATCAAATCTACTTCCTGTTCCCTCTAGAGCTCCCACTTTTTTCTTTGCAATACTAATGCACACAATAAACAGTTAAAGAGTTTGGTGTAATACATTTTTATTTCAAACCTATGATCCTGGGGTTAAAAAAATAAATTAAAATTTTAAAAAATATTAGTCAGAAATATCCTCAATAGATACTTGCTCACAACCCTCTTGAACATGCATAAGCCTATTTGAGACAAGTTCTGAATTAATTTTTCAGAACAAAAGTAGTCAGCTCACCATCACAGAAATAACTGTGCAACAGATTCTGCGTGGTATGCCATTAATCTCCACTTTATTTTCTCACCGCTACTTCCAACAGCTTGTGCAAAGAAATGCAGCTCAGTTTCATTACTCACTTTTATTACAAGGCAAAAAGCACACAGAAGATGCTTACTAGGACCACACATGAGTGAACATACTCATCACAATACCTGCGAGCTGGGGACCTGCAAGCTCGTGATGATCTGAATCATGGACATTACTAACCCCCAACATGCCCTCAAAGCTCATGTGCAAGAAAATAAACGTGTAGTAAACTACACACTTGCAACGTGTCATTGAGGAAGTCTGATGAAGACAAAGCCAGCAAGATGTCACACTTATAGGGAACGGGATAAGAAAATAAATGTAGTAGGGCATTAGTCCACCTTGGGCTCAGAAAGCACACATATTTTTGCCACATCGTTCTACATTTAAAAAAGACATAATACAGCATACGTAAGAGTCCAGAAAGATAGCAAGCAGCTGAGATACAAGACTTTCATGGAACAGAAAAGGCTGGCACTGTTTGGTGAGGAGACATTAATCTGAGGTAGGCATAGAGCACCATTGCTGTATACCCCCTCTAACACAGAACAAAAGAAATAAGAAGAAACTGAGGAAGACTGTCCTTTATCTGAGCTGTCAGTACAAAATCCACTTCGAATCACAGAAGTCAAGAGACCAAAGGCCTAAAAGGATTCAGTATCTATAAAAACTGTATTATTTACTAGCAGTAAGGAAGGTTATTTATTAAAATCTTTTGCTTCTGGGTATGAAAGTGACAAAACAGAGAATTCCAAAAGATTTATTATCTTTCCCAGACAGCTGGGTTTGTGGGGTTGAAAGGCAAGCTATGACAAAAACATTGCCCTCTGACACCAAAGAAAAAGCAAGCAACACATTACTCAGGTGTCTGTAACAGGGTTTTCCAGCTTGGCTAATAAACACACAGAGTAAAAAACAAAATAAAACAAAACAACCAAATAAACCACCAAACATGGCGAAAGTTTCACAGCTTTGTCAGACACCCAGCCTCTAAGGAGAAATGCTGCAGTTAAATTATTCTTGTAATATGGGATCTGGTAAGGGATTAAAACGTATTAAGGTGTTAAAGTAGATAGGATCAACAGAGAATGCAGTGCTCTACAACACTCCCTGCACTGCCCTCCGATGCCTCATTTACTGGCTATGATAGGTAAAACACCCAGTTAGAAAAACTCCTGATGCAATCCAAGTACGTGAGCAATCTCCAAGCACCATACAGTAATACCCAAACCAAACAAATAAGTCATCATGTCTTTGCTGGAGTCAAGTTTTAAACAAGAGCCTAAGTGAAAATGCAAGTCCATGCCAGAGGCAGAAGTTACTTCCACTACCTGAAGAAAATAAGTATCTTCAGAAGAAATTACTCCTCATCCCTCAGCTAGTTTGTCCTTTTTGTTGATTAAGTTTATGCTTCACCATGAAACTAGTACCATAGTTAGAAGTGAGAAAAGGTTAGCTCTCAGTTAATACATATCTGTTAGAAAGAGCATTTGCCTATTATCCTTCCCTACTTCTAAACTTAATTGGTTGAAGGGAGTAATTTTTTTCACTAGCTAGCAGACTTCTCAGTTGGACATCATAACCTAGGGGCGTGAGAACCAATACACCACTGGTTCCCTCTCTCAAGGAGTGAAAACACTGTCTCCTTCCATAGCTTTATCCTAGTTTAAAGCAGTATGTCGACGGACAGTGGTAAAACATAGAAAAAAAACAAGTTAAAACCTAATTGACTGCAATGAAAAGATTTTACACACCAGGATAAATTGGGGATTCCTCCCCCCATGCCCTGGCTTTGTCTCTGAGAGAGGAGAATACCCTGGTGAAGCTCCACTGAAAGCACCACTATTCACATGAAAAATAGGCTTAAATACACATCCTGAACTCCAGTCTTCCCTTGGATGTGCATTTCATAATCCTATCTAGTCTAGTGGAAACTTGTCTTTACAGAGGTGAACAGATCCCACAGTTTTAGCAGTGAACTTTTTCATGTGTCTGAGGTAGTATGCCAACATGAAATAAAAGCACTTGTATGTAAAATTTTCAAAGTCAACCACTGTCTTAAAGTGAGCAAAGGGACGGAAAAAACTTCATCACAAACTTAACCTGTCCACCCAATTTAAATAAAAAATACTTAAAGTTAGCTTAAAATAGAATATGACTGAGAAGCCTGAACATTCATCTGTATAAAAACTGGTCATTTAATGAATTTCTAAATAAAATCACTGCCCCATCATGATGTCCTACCAGACAGTCTGGTAGTGTTACTTCAATATCCTCTACCTGCAATGACTTAACATTATTCCTTCAAATCAAGCAAAGCAGTGTGTATTTGGGGG